GAGGCTCTAAATACTTAAGAATGTTTGTGTTGGACCAAACCTTTAACATCTGAAATGTATTGATTTTACTATTTTACCCCTAGAATAGACTTTTGGTAAATTTGAACTCAATTTGTACTATTTCATAGAAAATAATTTATCAAAATCAAAATAATATTGAAATCATACAAAAACTTATTAAAATAAAGAATAATTAATAATTAATAAATAACATAATTAAATTAATAAAAATAATTAATCACTATTAAAAAATAATAAAATGATTAAAATTTAATAAAAATTAAAATAATAAATAAAAATTAGTGGTTACTAATTAATAATTAATAATATTGAACTAACACGAATAAGAAATAATTAAATACATAATAATTAATAATAATTACGAAAAATAATTAAGAATTAAGAATTAATAAATAACATAATTAAAATAATAAAAAATAATCACTCGCCATTAAAAAATAATAAAATGATTAAACTTGATAAAAATTAAAATAATCAATAAAAAATAATGGTTGCTAATTAATAATAATAATATTGGACTAACACGAATAAAAAAATAAGTAAATACATAATAATTTATAATAATTAATAAAAATAATTAATCACTATTAAAAAATAATAAAATGATTAAACTTTAAGAATTGGAATGTGCCATGACTATGTCTCGTTGGACATGGAGATTGAAATGTGCCATCATCCGTTTAAGAATTGGAAACCGAGTTTGTAGGACACCAAACAATTTCTCAATTACATTTCTCAACTTTGCATGTGCTTGGTTGAATCGTTATTCTTTAGTCCTAGCATGCACATGTTGAAAGTCTGTTGCCCAATATCGTACATTTCAATAGAGTGCCATAAAGCGTCATGTATTAGCGTATGCAGCATCACATAGGTAGTACTTGTCTGTGTCAATCAAATTTATCCATCAAAAAAATGAATTCACCAAAAAATAATGAACACCCCTAGAACATCAATCTTATCGATAGGTGGAAATGGAAAGTTGTTGGCAGGGTTGTGTGCAACCTCATGTAAAACCCTAGCGTCATATGCTATTCCTTCCCAACCGACATAAGCATATGTGAACACCATGTTAAAATCACAAACATCTAGCACATTTTGGAAACATTCTTTCCCTCCTCTTCCTCAATATGCCAATTGTTTCTCCGGTGGTACCACAGCATGAGCATGTGTGCCATCTAAAGCACCAATAGCACCCTTCAACAAATGAAAACAAACAAATAAAACTTGTTTTGAGCTCAACCCCTGTAATAAAAATTATGAAACCTATGTGACATTCTCAATTAGTTACCTTGAATACATGTCGAAGTCGTTTGTGGTGCCCTGGGTAGTTTGGGTTTGTGTCAAATGTAGTTGGGCAGATCATCTCTTGTGCACATTCCATCATAGCAGCCAACACTTGATGAAAGTATCTATGCATTGTTTGAGTGGAGTGTTGGAACTGTCTCTTCAAAATGGAGAACCTTTCATTGTGGCTCAAACACAAAAGAAACATAACCATCTTCTTTTCCACTGATATGTATTAGTTATCATGCAACCATCCGCGATTTCAAAAATGGACACATCCGTACATATGCTTCAATAGGCATCCTCATAACCTCAATGGTGTGGGTATCATTTCTATTTAATAGTTATTGTGTATACATATAACCGGGTAGTGCAGATTCACAATCCGGCATCCTTGGAATACGCTTTTGTAAAGTTTTTTTTTTTTATATACCAATATAGGATGATAATTATACCCAACCTCTTCATCCTAGGTGTCAACATATTTACTGGTTACCAGATAGACATCATTCTACATTGAAATTAATCTAAAAGCAAATATTCAAGCATGCCAAAGAGAAATATGAAAATGTCAACTATGTCAAGTCATCGAGTGTCATAAAATAGTATCATCTATTACATATCCAAAATATCTAAAAATAAAACATATTGCATATGTCCACCCAGAAGTAAACCGTATCATAAAACTGGTTAAAAAAAATAGGTCCACCAATTTGTTCAACTAAAACATCATGTTCAGATACGATCGAAACCAACAAACAAGTCCTACGAGATGTTCATCGTCTAAGGAAGGGCATGTTGGGGACGGTCCTTGCTGCAGATTGAAGAGAATCTACAAGAGGAAGGGAGTGAAAATCATGGCTAGAGGTCAGAATTCTATTGATGAAGGTGAAGACAGGGAAGTGATATGTTGAGGAAGAATGAAGAGAGCTGCTGTATTCGTTTTTTCCCTTTAATTAATCGAATTAATTGAATTCAGACTGTTGCAAGTCTGTTATATTACAGACTATTTCAAACAATAAAGTCTGCTATATTAATTGAATTCGGACTGTTGCAAATTTACCACAAACATAACTTATTTACAGACTATTTCAAACAATTGTGAATCCTATATTAGGCTCAGATAATAGTCCATCCCTCCAAGTATAGACTATGCATTTAATTAGTTATTAGTCTAGTTCAATTGTGTTGAGGATAATAAGGCAGTTTATTTAGGACTGCATTCTGTAATTTTATATTCAGAGGTTTTGCTAGTTCAGATTTAATTTGTTTATGGTTTTATATTATGGTGTGAAAAGACAAACTCCATGAAGTCTAGCCAAGATTCATTCAAAGAATGGATCTGGACCCTGGTATCTCCATCTCTTTGATCATGTGAAACTGGTTAGTGTTGCATCCACAGCTCAACTGAGAGAGGGAATTTATCATTTCTAGTTAAAAAATAAAAAAAAAAGAAAAAAAATAATATATTGAATTTTTCAAGCATATTAATTTTATTTTCTCATATGCCTTACCATTGTGTGATGTCTTGAAAATCAGGATAGAACTGGAATTTTAACTTTGAATTACTGGAATTTCATCCTAATCAAATATCTGGTATGGTTCAGCTTTAAAATTGTTAATTCAAGCAAACCGAAAAAGAAAAGGTTGAGTTCAGGTATAAATTAGATAAAGATTCGGATTAAAACCATTGCACCATTCAAACCATCTAATAGATCAATTAACTCAATGGTTTTACTTTATTATTGTATTAAGCCTAAGGCTTATGTTTAATGAGTGGAATCATTAAACATGTATGTTATAGACATAAACACAAATATTACAGATCATATCAAATAAAAGAATTATGTGTTCAAGAGGAGCCATTACTTGGTGTAATGGTAAAATCTTGGGCTGGCATGAGTGAAAAATGTGGCTTCGAGTCTGATAGCAGACACTTTGTTCAAAAAAATGTCTAAGATAAAGACTCAATCCCGGATAGCTGGGACTAACATTAGGTAATCGATGTAGTTCCCCTTATTTAATCAAATCCTGCTTTGACCATATCTTTCATTTAGACTGTATTAAATTAAAAACCAAAATGTGAATGCACAATATTGTTCAAAATTTAGGCCGTGTTTGGTTTGATATAAGATAAGAGAGAAACAAAATGTTGAGGGAAAGTTCTAACTTCTAAAGGAATTTCACAAAATTCTTTTAGATCTTTATGTTTCTCTTATTTTCTGTCAAACCAAACATGGCTTAAGGAAACTTGATTAATTGATTAGCTACCAATAAATCAAACAATTTTTAACCATAATTTTATCATAACTTTTAACTACCCAGAAAGATCTCTTTCTTTCTCTTTTAATTACCAAATACATGAGTACTAGTATCCTACCACATGTCCTAATGTACCACAAGTGAAATTAGGATTCCCATTCATGCATCCACCCATAACACATGTCAATAGGAGGCACCATTAATTTACAAGCTAAAAATGATAGTTATATTTTTATTTAAATAAAAAATCAGCAAAATTGTCAATCTCTCTTTATCAACTCCTGCCTACAAGTCATCTGGTTCCAACAAAGAAGTTGTATGTGATGAAAAACATTCATTTGAAAAATTTATAAATTAACTTATAATGAAAAGTAAACCAGAACAGATCCAAATTAAGTAAACAGATTAGCTTATTCAAGTAGAGAAGGTTATAAATTAAGTAAATAGACATTATGTTCCAACAAAGTAGAATATGGCCCAAGCTAATATGCTCTAAAAAGGGTTCTATGTCCACTCAATTCACATATTACTATATACCATTTTCCTGCTCTCTTCAAATTCTTCAACCAAGAGCTTGAGGTTGGACATTTTGCATTGTCTTTGAAAACTTAAATAGGGTTGAATAGGTGTGGAATGGACAGAAACTTAATGTTATTTGTGAAGAGTAGTACCTCAATCCAAGCTTTATAGAGTTCAGATATGCTACAGACATTTGCTGTAACATTATATACTAACACAGCCACCGTATTCCACCTGTCTTTAGCACATGTATGCCCCTTAATTAACTCAAGTAACCAATGTTCGCAATATGTGTTAGTAGCAGATCCAGTCTCAGCTTTATAGGGCTCAAGGGTGAAGCCATGGAGTCTACAGAAAGTAAAAAAGTATGACCTTTGAGTCTTTTTTTTGTGATGTTTGCTTCTTCCGTTCTTCCTAAGTTTGTGAATTTTGAGATCCTGGATATCCAAATCCAATCCCATATTCCTTGCTCAAAATAGGCTATTGCAATCTCCATTCAAATTAGTAATTGGGGAAGAAAAGGTCAAGTCACCATGTGACAATTCAATGATTCTCCAGAATCTCCATTTTGACTTCAGTTGATAACAGAGAAATTTGGCCAAGAAGGAATTTAGCCTTTTGCAATCATCTAATTTGAAATAAAATGTGGGAATGGTTATTTCAATTTCACTGTTTCAGGGAATCAATGAGGTATGGAATTGAAAGCAAAGTCCATTCCCATGATCCAAAAGTAACTCAACATTTCTTTAGCTAATGTGTGTTTATAAAGGAAAAAATATGACAGAGATCAATAGTACATATACCCTCAGATTGTCTTGACACCTGAAAAATGATACACTTAATTGCAGTTGGACATACATTCTTCACTATTAAAAATAAAGAGAGTATATGGATAAAAGTATGCAATTAGGAATAAATGTAAAAAGAAGCTTCTGAGAAGGCCAACAAATCATGTTTTAAATGAAACAAAAATTGGAAGAACAAGAACTGAGAATTTATATTATTTAAGCAATTTTGAAAGCAAGGAGATTCAGTATTAGTAAATACTTGGCAAGTCTTGCTTGTATGACACAAACCTTGCAGTCCCTTCAACACCCCTCTCTGAGATTTGAGGGCAATCCTCAACTGTCAGCCTTTCCAACTTGTGTGATCCCACAAGTGGCTTTAGCCCATCATCTGTCACAACTAAACACTTAACCAGCATGAGAAAACTCAAATGTGGAAATTGTGCAACAAATTGCAGCCCCTCATCACTGATCGCTTGGCATCTCACAAGCTCCAGGGTCTGCAAAAAGTGAGCTGAACAAAGAGCTTCCATCCCATTGTCGTTGAATGTAGAGACATGGTCAAGAATCAACACTCTGACTGGACACATCTGGATTAGAGTGAGGATACCACTTAAGTTAAATGAAGAGAATGAGGAAGGGAAGTGATCTCCATCCAAGTATGATATTTTAACTGACTCAAGCATAGAACAGTTATGAGCTATTGCTTTCAGACTCTCATCTGTCAACCTCAATGGAATGTTTAAGAAAAAACGTGAGAAATCTGAGGGGAGGTGGAGGGAGATAGACCGAAGGTTATTCGATTTCTGTGTTAAGTTCACAATGTCACTGTCTCTAACTCCAATACACATGTGCAAGTAGAGCTTCTCTAATGCTCTGCAGTTATCCAATAACCAAGAGAGCCCTCTTCCTGGACTGACAATGCAATTAACCAAGCTAAGCTCCCGCAAGTTCTCACAGGAAATCCAGTTGCCCTTCCATACATCCAGATCATTCACGTTCGCAGAACTAAAGTCAGCCTCAAACTGCAACCGTTTAAGCTTCTGCCAACCAGGTCCAAGCTTGTTAAGGTATCCCTCCCGAATTGCTTTACAGTTCTTAATTGATAAGTCCTCTAGAGTCCCCAGCATCCCAAGGTATTCCAGCCACTCAACGCTATTCACATTTGAGCATCTGGTAAGGTGGAGGGTGGCTATATTCTTGCACCCCACAACAAGAAAAAATAGACCACGACCAGTGATCCTTGACGTGTAATCCAATCTGAAAGCCACAAGTTTTCTGCAAGAAGCTAAATGGCGGACACCAGCATCAGTAATGGAGTTACAGTGGCTCAGAGTCAAGTCGACCAGAGAAGGACAGTACTGAGAAAGTATGAGAAGGCCTTGGTCATCCATTTGTTTTCCTAATTCAGACCAGTAATCATTGTAATTAATTTCTACTTTCTTCAAGTTGGTGAACCGGTTGCAGAGGGAGGTTAAAGCTTCATTTACAGGGTGTAATCCGAGACCAACTTTAAGTACTTCCCTTTGCTCTCTCTCAAATTTGTGAAGGCGTTTACATGCTAAAGAAGTGGAATTCCGATCTACAGTTTCCTTCAGCCTATCCAAAATCTCCCAAACCAAGTGATCTGGCAAATCCTCCATTAAGATCAAATTCTTCTTCCTTACCAAAATTGAATGGAATTGTTATCAACCTGAAATTATGGCAAAACCCAGATTTTAACTCAAATACAGGGTAACAACCCACAAGTAATTTCTATAAATAGTGCTCAGTTATGGAAATTTTACAGAGTCAACAACTAAAGATATTGCTTCTGTCCACAAAAAGCATCTTTAGACAAAATCAAAACCAATTACTTTTTTTTTCCTTCGGAAGCAAGACGACAAAACTCGAGAAAGCGCCATATCATACTTTCTGCATCCGATCTCCATAAATTTCCTTTAAAAAATAAAACTATTTTGGTTTTAAAAAAGAAATATTTTTGAAAGTATTCTTTCTAGTTTTTCCACCCCAAAATAACACATACAGGTATCAAAATCTGAATTGAACGAAATCCAGACCATAATGCGAAATTAATCACTTCCGATCCAATTAATAGTTCTTCCATGTTTAACGCAAAATGGTAGAAATAAGAGATTTAAAGCTAAAAAAACCCAAAATCATTCAAATAAATATCATTATGTAGAAGTGAGATATCTGCAATTTTCTGCAACAATGCCTTAAAAAAATGAAAAAGAACTGATAACAAATGGCGGTTTCAGAAGAGAAGAAGACGAACCGAAGAACTTGAAAGATGACACATGCAATACATGTTATGAACAGATTATCAGCAAAGGCATAACAAATTCTACCTGAAATAGAGAAAGCTAGAAGATTCACGCGAACTTCCAACAAGGCGGCCATGAAGATATTTTGATAGCTGTTGCAATATAAGTAGATCTCTTCCTTCGCTTTCGAGTTGTTTTAACTGTAATTGGAATATGACCCATTTTATCCGAAAGTTGCGGTATAATAAATTGGCAAAATTTATCTAACTCTCATACCTTCTTGAGAAAAAATGGGAAACCACCTGTCCCACGTCAACCCAGAATTGGAATTCCAGTTTTATGTCTGTATTTATGAACATCACTCTCCGCCGTTAACTCGCAGTGTAAATTGTCAAAGCAACATGACTCACGGCAATTGAAGGGATACCCCATAAGGATTTGGGAAGCAGATCAAACAGTTGGTGAGGTTTATCAGAACATCAACTGCTTCACCACAACGCAAATCATGCATATGTATTCGAAGAAGACTGCAACGTTGATTTTTTTTTTTTTTCTTTTGGTAAAACGAAATCTTTCATAAAACTCAAGGGGGGAATGCACCAGAGTATGAATCACGAGCAAACGGGCGAATCCAAGAAGCCCAGTCAGAAGGCGACATAACGGCAACATGACGAGAAGCAACTTCCGCTGCTAGACGATAGGCAACAGTTCTAGCCTCTCGATAAACAAAAGAGAAGGAGCTATGAAGCTATCCCCCCCCCCCTCCGTTCTGCTAGAAACCTGATATCAGTTAGTAAGGAGAGGAGCCGGTTGCTTTGAAATCATTGATCAGCTTGACAGATGACTCAATAACAACTAGTAAAGGATGATGAAGCTGAAAGCCTGAAAGTGAAGAGCTTCCAGGCACACCAGACGAAGCGTCCTGAGCTAGTGAGCTCCACGTCTAAACTAGAACTGCAGAGAGCTGAAGCCAAGTGGTTGTGGTTGACATTGTTAATCTCATCTAAAGAAGACCCTTCATTCCTTTGCTAGCTGTTAGAACTTAGAAGAGAAGGTCTGATATTGTCTCAAATGCTGAATTGGGCCGAGACGAGTCCAATAAATACATTTTCGGGAGCGGGAAGGTTGTGTTTGGTTTCGTTAGATTTTCAATTTTCAACCCGTAATGTTTGAATTGAAACCTCGTGAATAAACACTAATGTTTGTAGTGGGGCCGGCCTTAGCCCTTAGCCCATCCCCCATCCCCCATCCCCCATCCCATAACAGATTAACAGATAACATCCCTATTCCCTAGCCCTAACCCAGGTCAGGTGCAGGCGGAATTCAATCCTACCAACCCGCTGGTTGTTGGCACTTTGCACTATTGTTTATCATATTTGCATTTGATGAGAAACGTGTGTTTTTTATCCATGTGTCTTTCATTTTAATAGCCAAACAAGCTCAAAAGTCGGACTAATGTGGCACCGTTTACACTTAACGGTGGAACTGTCAATGGGTCGAATCTGGTTCAAAAGTATACTTGTTTACGGGTTCGGCCAGATTCAGGTTTATTAACCGAAAATGATCAGGCATGAGCCCGAAAGAGTCCCTTATATAAAGCGTGAAGCTCATTCTGGAAAGATATATTAATTATATACAATTAGTAATATATATTTTTTAACGCATTAATAATATATTATATTATATACTATTATATGATATATATATGTATTATATGTTTTTAATATATTATAATTTTTTATTATAACAGGTCCGGCCAAGCCAGCCCATTAACATTTTTGCTGAATCAATTATTAATCGGTTCCTTAGTATCAAACCTAAGGGTGCAAATGGACTGAATCATGATGTGATCTGATCTAAATCTGAACCTATTTTTGTCGAATTGTCAAATCAGATCACTCTTATCTGTTTTTAGTTTTGATAATATAACCTTGAGCCTTTTAAAAAAAGTAATATAACCTCAAGTAGAAATGACGGTAAAATAGTAAATTATATATATATATATATATATATATATATATATGTTGAATTGTTGATAAAAGAAGGGTTTTTAATCAAAGTTATCTTATTATGTCTATTAAATTTATTTTTTAGACATAAAACATAAAAAATACAAGAAAGCCAAAAGACGTTTATATATTATTAAGGGTAAATTAGGTACCCTGTACTTTGGGGGCAGTGATAAATAGGTACCTGAACTTTTAAGCGCAACACATGAGTATTTTGGACTTTCAAAAATAGACATTTGGGTCTATCCGTTAGTATTCCATCAATTAAACATTATATAATGTCAAAAATATCCTTCTCGTGTATTTTTTAGATCATTCTCAATTAACCAAACACCTCCTCATGGCGACATTCTCACATGGACAGTAAATAACATATTCAAATTTTTCAACAATGGCATTCTCTAGTGATGATTTTATTCCATAGAAATGTAGAATGATATAAAAAATACACAAGAAGTGCATTTTTTAGATTATGTAATGTTTAACTAACGGATGGACCCAAGTATATTTTTGAGAGTTTAGGGTACTCAAGTGTTACAATTGAAAGTTTAGGGTACTTATTACCAAAAAAAAAGAAAGTTCAGGGTACCTGTCTATAATTTACCCTTTATTAAATATATAATTGATTCAGAAGAGCAAGAAACTATTACAAATCAATTATTAATTGGGAAAAAACCACAAAACTAGAACTTTAGTCGGCTTAGTCAAGTAGATTCTACCCATTGACAGCCCTAGGAAAAGGCAATGGTATCAAATAGCCCTTCCCAAATTCTAGAGAGGGGGGAGGGGGAAAGTCGATCAATGGGATTGTGGTTCTCATTGACCAATTTTCCTACATTCATTTTTTGGATTCATGTGGAATCCACAGAAAATCACTCCCTAAGTACTTGAGTAAGTGATAAGCATCTCTTAATAGGGGGCTGCAAACGGATTGGATCGGATTCGGTAAGGGTATATCCGATCCGATCCGTTAAGAAAATTTGACCAATCCAAATCCAATAAGGATCCATTGGATTTTCAAAAGTGTGATTCGAATTCGAATTCAGATATATTATTGGTTCGAATCCGATTCGATTAAAATTATATTTATATTATATAATAATATATTAAAATATAAAACATATAATATTATATAAATAATATATAATATATATTATTTCATCCAGATCAGCTAATATCTGAATTCGATTCATTAATTAACAGACCAGTTTTTCCGATCAAATCCGATTTGTTAAGATCGGGAGGATATCTAAATCCACCTCTTAACGGATCGGTATCGAATTCGGATCGAATATGATCAACTTATTTATAGTCCTATCTCCCAGTAGACCTGTTCATGGGCCGGGCCGGGCCGGGCTTTCACTTGTCATTAAGGGAAATATGCTAGGCCCGAGCCCGAGCCCGACCCGACCAACGGGCCTATAACTTGGGCTCGAGCCCGGCCTGACCAACGGGCCTATAACTTGGGCCCGAGCCCGACCCTGATAAAAAGCCTGAATCTCGACCTAATAAAAAAAAACAATTTTCCCTATTCAAATTAGAATTAAAAATTTAGATAGTTTTTTTTCTTCCTATTTAAATGAACAATGAGCCTACGAGATGGTTTTTTCCCCTTTCTTTTATATTTTAAAACACAGTTTTACATTCTTAAATGAAAAAATTATTCAAATGGACATAATCACATTGCTCACTTTAAGTCTAATATTAGGTCGGGTCGGGCTGGGCTCGGGACAGGCTATTTTGACAAAACCCGAGCCCGACTCGAATTTATTGCGGGTCGGGATTTTTGGCCCAAATTTAAGCCCGTGGGCCTATAACCACGTTCAAGCCCGTCTAGGGGCCGGCCCATCGGGCCACCCGGCCCATGAACAGGTCTATCTCCCAGGTGAGGGGAAAATTATTGACCCATGATGAAACAACATTAGCCCTTGTAATAATGACACTTAATAATTATTTAATTTTCTAAATAAATGTTTCCAGTTAGGGGTGATCATGGGCCGGGCCCGGGTCGGGCTTTGCACTTATGATAAGGGCTATACATTAGGCTTGGGGTTCTGGCTTGAAGCCCTAACCCAGGTCTATACCTGATTTTGGGCCAATGTCTTTCATATATAAAATATTACATATCTATAATATTTTATATTAAATGACATAACATGCATATAAACTTATTTTATATATTATATAATATAAAATATTACATATAATATGAATTGTATATATTATGTTATAATATTTATATATAAAATATATAATCTAATGTAAAATAACATACATATATATACATGTATACATTATACACAAAATATGTAAGTTTAAATATATACAGGCCGGGCCCAGGCCGAGCCTGAACACAAAACCCAGGCACAAGCCCAGTCCGGAATTTCCGGACTGGGCTGAAATAATCACTCCTATTTCCAGCTCGGCGTGTAGATGCATTTATAAGTTGTTGTCATAAGGTGGTGATTGGAGTCATGGTATTGCCATCCCTTTGCTTCCACGTAAAAGTTACACAGTAGTAAACAACTAAACATGATGCTTAATGGCCAAGATAAAGAACCTATCAAGTCAAGCATGCTTAATGACCAAGTAGGTGATGCTCTAGAGGCACCCATGAATTGTAGGTATTAACCTACCAAGAAAAAGTATGGTATGACTCGTTGTTGTGAATAACAATGAAAAGATTGAGCCTTCATCAAAAGCTCTTTCTTTATCTTATCCTCAAATTTCACCTCTTGCTATATAAGTGAGAGATCTTTTCTTGTCAAGACTTGAATTAGCACTGAGAAGAAGAAGAAGATGCATCACCCTCCACCGCATGAGCAACACGGTCCGCCCCATGACCGGCCCCATCCTGAGCCACCGCATGCACACCCGCCCGGTCCTCCTTACCACCATGATCTTCCACCTCCCCATGCACCTCCACCAGGTCCTCCGGGTCCCCATCCACACCCACCGGGACCGGAAAAGCCACATGGGCCACCACCACCTCGCTAAGTCGCTAGAAGTTGAAGACCTCTTGCGTTATAGTTTGTATTTTGTTCTTACTACAGGCCCACAGCTACTACTTTCTATCACCCTGGTTCCTTCTGTTACTGAAGTTCATGTTGATCTCTTATGTTGTGTCATGATGCTATATATAGCTACTAGTTTTACTATATGTCTAATTACTATACCACTTGTCTGATGATTCCTGCTGCCTATGGAAACTAATGAAAATACATGTTTAGTTATTTATAGTTTGGATTCCCTTGCATAGATCATTGTGGTGAATATTCACTAGGGTGGTGTTTGATACTATTGCTGTTTCTACCTGAAACGTTTTGGGTTTATCAAACCTCAAAACATTCATTTTTTTCAGTTGGAGTGACTCTACATATGATGTCACAACATATATTTCTCACCAATTTGTACTGATCAATCCAAAACCATTCAGCAAGAAACAGCAATAACACCAAACACAATTTACATCTACTTGCTCACTTCAGAGAGAAACAGCTATGACCCTCAGCAGTGGTCATTCTTGCTCAATAATTTGGCAATGCGGCCCTCAGTTTCTCTGGCCCTTGGTTGCTCAATAATTTGGCAACTGGATTTCAAGAATGACCACTGCCTTTAAGGATTTGAGTCTGAATCTCCTCCCAACTAAGAAAAAACCGTTTCAACATGATCTGTGTCAATACATCTCCAAATAAGACTGGAACCCCACCATGACACGGATCATGTTGGAAGTGTGTTGGGACAACTTTTGTTGGGAGGAGATCCCAACTTTGCAGATTCCACCTCTGCCATCTGAGATTGTCTAGCCCACCCAGCTTTCTTCATTGTGAGCTTAGCATTGGCCTGGACAACGTCGGCCTCTCTCCGATTCTCATATCTTCACCTTTGTTTTTGTCACCTTAATCTCTTCCTGCTTTCCATTTCCTTGCCTTTATGTTGCTGCAACCATTGTTTCCACATCGATATTCAGCAGTCTGCAATGTTCAGCCTACTTTGAATTCGGATTTGCTCCTCACAGCACATTACAGCTATGTATCAAGGATATCTCCCCATGAATGATAACATGCAAGTATGAGCTCCTGATTATTTTCCCATGAATGATCTTATACAAATACAGGACATATTCCTGATGTGTGGTTGCAAGTGCTGTGAGGTGCACTGTAATGAGCAAATCCAGATTCTCTTGGAGCTTGGCTCCACTATGTCAGCCTTTCACGTGGTTGGCAGCCTCCATTTGGGTCTTCTGGCCAAGTCAAGAGAGAGTCCAGATCTGCTCCTCAGAGCGTTCCTCACACCAATTTCACATTATGTCCTGGCCATACATCGGGAATATCTTCCATACTTGTATTCCCAACACAGTGGCATGTGGCTGTGAGGTCGGTGTGAGGAGTGCTCTGTAAGGAGCAGATCCCAATTCCGAAAGTAGTCATGACCAGGAACGTCAACCAGCTGCTTAACAGTCAACACTATAGATTAGAAGACTGAATTGATTGAGTTCAAGCTGGACCTTCTCGAAAGATTCTCGTTTGAACTCTTTGGTTGGTGCCATCGAATATTTCTTCCATACAAACAATGTCAGCCAATACATATCAATACTATGAACTTTAATCTTTGCCGCCCAAATACATAAAACCAGAATAAAAATAACCTACGTATGAAATAGCCAGACAATAGCACACTAATTTGATCAAAAAGACAATAGCACACTAATTGGATGAGAATCATTTCATTAATCTTATCTCATGCCATGGTTCAATACAGATCAATGTGGACATGTATCATCATTGCTATGCTGATAAAAAAAATGGGCTTCATGGCTCTCATCCAGTATATATATATATATAGAAAATCAAGCTCTGAAAAAAGAAGAAAAAGCTGTGGGAAGATTATTACACCACAATCACCTGACAGATTCCATATAATGATGGATCATCCTTGGCATCATTAGCATCTTCTCCTGTTACTGATCCTTGTAGCACTTTTGCCACTATTTCTTGATAATGATGCTATTGGTAAATGGCAAGACTGAGCCATCTTTGATTTCCTTTGAATTTGGTAATTGCTCCACCGTATTCTCTGCCTCAATTTGCAACATCAGATCTCTGAGCTGTCCAAAGTCATAGAACAGAAGTTACCCAGGAGCCATTAGTATTTTAAGTTGCACTATAATGCATGTCAATAAAGCATGATGCCAATCTCTACAGATAGACCAGTGTGCCTTACCTGTTCCTCCAACTCCTGTATTTTTTGGGCGTTCAATGACAGAGCCTTTTTTTCCCTGAAATCAATCAACATTGATAGTCATCATGCTTAAATACGCCAAAGTGGTAGGGTTTTGCCCCCCCGGGGGGGGAATGCTATACACATTAGTATGCTGTTCATTACTTATTTACTTGGATTCCTGCTGCAATACTTAAATTATTCAGATTCAATGGATTATTACTTACATGGATATCATAATACTTGTTTGCTTGGACAGTTGGACTCATTACACTATTGACCTATTGATTATTTGTTTGGATCCTTGTTAAATGAAATTTAATGATTAATAAGCCTTGCTAATTGGTGAATCGAACTTGATTAAATTCTATATGGAATATTTAATTTTTTTATTACATGTAATATTGCCCTGTAAAATAAATGATACAAATGTTTCATTATATGCAAAGTTCATTACTACTGGCTTTTTTTAGTATTTCTTACAACAAGAAATCAAATAGCAAATGCGGATCATATCCAATAAATTATAGGCTTTATTGTCAAAGAATACCTCTGCCCAAGTGACGCCTAGGTGGTTTTCCTGTGTGCATTTAAGCACTTGGGCAACAAGCAGTACCAAGGTTCCAAATTTCGATACGTATCGGCAGGCTACCAATATGCCCCTACGGGGGGTGTTTGGGGTTTAACCTGGTTCAGAGGGTAGAAGGGTCTTAGACCGACCAATCTGAACCAGGTTCACAAAGAAAAGAAAGAGTAGCAAGGGCCGATACAGCCCGATACGCCCCTACCGACGTATCAGTCTGTATCGATATTTTGAAACTTGGGCAGTACTCAGAGGATTTGGATTAGCTAAATGTATTAGCTGTGTGTAGGGCTGTCAACGGGTCGGGTCTAGGCCGGAACCAACTGGAACCGGAACTGACCCAACATGAAATGTTGAGGACCCGGACCCAAAAAGGGTCTGTAATTTTTGGAACTGGAACCGAACCGATCAGTTCTTGGGACAATCGGGTCTAACCCGACAGGCCTGATTATAATAAATAAAAAAAAAAATATATATGTTTAATATATATTAAATATTCTATATATATATATATATATATATATATATATATATATATATATATATATATTATATAATTTATTTAATATATTATACATTACAGATACCGGGTCGGATCTGAATCGGTTCGGGACTAGATGGAACCGGTTCCGAACTGATAGTAATCGGGACCCTATATCAGGACCCGGAACCGACCCGTCAGTTCCACTTCCCAGAACCAGAACCGGCCCAATTGGTTCGGGTCTGTCCATTGACAGCCCTAGCTGTGTGACAGGCTGTGGAACCAATGATAATGCCCAACACCAGTGATCAAAATACATGGGGCCCACAGTGAGAGGTTGAATGGTTATGGCCCCTAGCCCCATGTATTTTATGAGTGGTGCGGAGTGTTATGATTGGTTCCACAGCCTGCTGAACAGCTATTGCTTTCGGCCAATCCTATCTCCCCTATGGCCCTATCATCTAGTCTCACCTTGTTGCCTTGAAGACTATGCTATCTACTACTCCCCCTTACAAGTTATATGGTTCAAAGAGACAGAAAAATCATTCTACAGGACTGAATCATTCTCCCTCTCCAATTAAAAGGACAAATCTTGAAAAACTCCAAGGTTTCTAAAATATCATTATTCCCTGAGGTTCCATGTCAGCTTCACTTACCTCCACATTACTAAGTCCATTGCCTAAACAACTGGCATCGTTTAGTAGTACAATCTAAAAGTATTTTCCCAAGCTACAGGAAGAACTCCTCCTTTTGTGGTATACTTTTCAATGAAGCCATATGTTTAAATTACCTCAAAGTGATGGATGGGAAGCTAGTGGACAACCTCTTTATTATCACAACCTACCATGGAGGAGGAAAACAATATTTACAGCATTCAACAATTAAGAACAGGTACAGAAAGAACCCTAATGAATAATAGGATGCATGATCAACTAAGAGGTTTACCTTTGTCTATCCTTGGAAACCAATCATATCTGACCTTCTTACCTTTTTGTGCCATATCAGGTATTATTTTTTTTTCTCACGAACAACATTAGAATATTGGGAAATCTTTGGGAGAATGATTCACCACTAAACCCATCAAGTAAATTGGGATGGTCTGGTTGATTTGTTAGGCTATACTCTTTTATTTATTTATTTTTTTTTTGTTCAGCATCAAAATCAAATTTTATTACTTAGAGAAAGAGGAATGAACAAATCAAAGGCAGCCTCGGCTACCTCCAAGAAAATACAGACAATTTAATATTCAGTCTTACAACTGAGCCCAAAAACACAGTGCCCTATTTACCCCTTGCTTTGCTAGCTGGTTAGCTATATCATTTGCCGACCTAGGAGTCCATTGAATTATCAGCTGCATGCCCCTTGAGAACCTCCTGAATTGTTTGATTTTGTTTCTAGAAAACCAAGGAGTCTTCTCATTCTGTTCCAGCCAACTTATTACTGTTTTGGAGTCACCTTCAGCTATTAGCTTTCTCACCCCCATCTCCATAGTTTTCTGCATCCCGTAGATCACTGCATTCAGTTCTGCTGTTACAGAATCACACAATCCACTGGGGCCTGAGTACATGCCCATAATCACTCCACTTTCATTTCTTAAAACCCTCCAATTCCAGACGGACCCGGATTCTCAAAGGTGCTTCTGTCAAAGTTTAATTTCAGGAATCCTAACTCTGGTGGGTGCCAAACCTTTAGTGCCTTCCTCTTGGCTGAAGTTGAGGCTGCAATTATTCTCCAGTTCCTTATTATATCATCAATAGAGAAAGCTGAAAACAACTCCAGTGTCTTAATCCAGAAAACCACTTTTGCCATAATCCCTTCAATTAATGCTTATTTGCTCCTTTTCTTTTCCTCGAAGATACATTTATTTCTTTCATCCCATAAAGTCCAGATTGACGCTGCCCTTGTACACCTCCACATTATTCTTCCCCTCCTTTTTGACCAGCTGAAGGTAGAAACATAAAACAACTTGTCCAATCTGTCCAGAGTATTCCACCTGCACCCAAAGAGAGAGAAAAACCAATCCTATATACCACAAGCAAATGAACAGGAAATGAAAATGTGATGAGCAGATTCACCGTTAGATTCATACAAGCAGCACCAATTTGGGGAAAGGCACCATCCGGGTCTCTTTCTCTGTAGCATATCGCAAGTGTTGATTGCTAGAAAGGGCACAACTGGTTGAGGAGGCAAAGACAATGATTTGAAAAAGGAAGCACAGCTGAAAACCCCAGAAGGATGTAGAGTCCAAATTCTATCATCCTGTTTGTTTAGGTCAAGGAAAACCCCCTCAAGAATGTGTAGTAGGTTAGAAACAAGGCCCAGTTCTGTGTCCTCACATTTCTGCGAAAGCCTAGCTTCCACCCAGTTGAAAATTATACCTACAGTAATTCAAATAATGCAAGAAAAGAAGAAAAGAGAGAAAGAGAAGGAAGAAGAAAAGAAGTTTCAGCAATAGGTTGTGGAAGAAGAAAAGAAGGGAAGAGAGAAAAGAAGAATTCGAACCTCTCTCTCTAGCCCCCTTTCATCACTTTTATTAATAATTCTAAGTCTGAGTACAATTACTTGGATGTCCTTAATGGGGCGGCCATAACTAAAGAAATAATTAAAGAAAATAAAAAAAAGGCCCATAAAGCCCATAACTAAGAAACATAACTTTTAAACACTACTTAAAAGAAATAAAGAACACTAGGGCCCATTCTCACTACACTCCCCCTCAAGCTGAGCATAGATGTCAATCATGCGCAGCTTGAATAATGTTGAAGCTTTGCCTTTGGGATTACATAATGTCGAAGCTAGCTGCTCTTCTAATGCAATGAAAGGTAGGCAACCTCTCCTGAAGCCACTCTCTCCCGTATAAAGTGTCTGTCTACCTCAATGTCTAGACGAGTCATACATAGATAAAGAAGTTTCCCCAACTAGCTGATGACACTCTCTCCTGAAGCCATTCTCTTCTAATGCAATGAAAGGTAGGCACACCTCTCCATGAACTGGCTAATGACACTCACAGCATATGAAATGTCTGGACGAGTCATACATAGATAAAGAAGTTTCCCCAATAATCTCTGAAACACTCCCTTGTCAACTAAAAGTTTTCCATCATTAACTGAGAGTTTATGATTCACATCAATAGGGGTAGAGACAGGTTTAGCACCAAGTTTTCTAGTCTCAGTAAGAAGGCCTAGCACATACTTCTGTTGAGAAATAAAGATACCTTCCTTGGACCTAGCAACCTCAATGCCTAGAAAATACTGCAACTCCCCTAAATCTTTAATTTCAAATTCAGAACTAAGAAACTTCTTGAGAGTAGTAACTTCTTTTGTATCACTTCCGGTAACCACAATATCATCTACATAAACTATAAGGAATGTCATCAAAGTGCCTTTTCTCTTAACAAAGAGGGTATGATATGATTGAGTCTGAGTGTAGCCGAACTGAACAAGAACAGCCCTAAACCTATCAAATCAAGCACGTGAAGATTGTTTCGGGCCATAAAGTGATTTCTTCAATCTACAYACCTTACCCTGCATTTCCTTGCCATATATACCAGGAGGAAGGGACATATATACCTCTTCAATGAGATCACCATTCAGGAATGCATTCTTAACATCAAATTGATACATAGGCCAATCATAGCTCACAGCTAAAGATAAAAGAACTCTCATCGAAGTCATCTTAGCAACTGGAGAAAAGGTCTCAATGTAATCTATCCCATATACCTAGGTATATCCCTTGGCAACAAGTTGGGCCTTATACCTCTCAATTGACCCATCTGCATGATACTTGATAGTGAAAACCCACTTGCACCCAATAGGTTCCTTCCCAGCTGGTAAGTCAACAATATCCCAGGTATTGTTTTTATGAAGGGCTTCTATTGTTAGACAGTTTATGTATGCCCTTAGCTTCAATCTAATTTGATGTACTTTTGTTATTTAGTGGAAATAAATAAAGTGCATGTTTGATTCATGTTGTTTG